GATGTCCACAGCAGGACTGTTGGGCCAAGGGGGCGGTTTTACTTACCAGTTGCAAAATTCCAGAGAAGCAATGCTAAGTCAGCCGAAACTTTAAATGAAAATTAAAACAAATCCCCTTTGGGATGAGATGGAAATGTCAGCCCAAGGATGAATCTGTTCTCAGTAAGTTGCAAGCAACTAAGGGAGATACAATTTGGAATCCAGCCTTGGCTGCACCACACACCATCTGTCAACCTTGTAGAGTGAAATAAAGGAAAAGCAGAGAGCCTGCAATTATCCTCTCCCTCGTTGGATAGCCCAGAGGCCAGAGAAGTGGATTCTCTTCCCTGATACATTTCTTATGACGGAAATGACACATTCATTTTCCCACAGTAGTGTTGCTGTGCATTGCACTCGCATCCTACTCGCTCTCCCCTTGGCAACCAGGAACACAAGACTGCCAGACTGGAACCTGAGTGAGAAGGCTCTCTTCCCAGTGTTAGAGATATAGATGTAGCAAATTGCAGGAGAAGAACATGAGAGAACAGGGGATGCTGAAGTCTCTCCACTAGGCACATTGCTGGAAAAATGCAGGAGCTTTCTTCTGCCCTAACAGGCACCTGAGCACTGCTAGTACTGAACACTTACAGTCAGGCAAAATCTCTTCTCTCTCTCCTTCTCCCCCATGCCCTTGCACATTTTCGTAACCTCACAAAAGTTTCAGACAACGTCATCTTTAACCTACTGCAGGCAGGACTTGTGAGCCACGTGAGGGGGGGACCATAATTGGTCAGAACACCAGTCCCATCCATGGCCAATGAATGGGGGACTTGGACTCCACTCCCCCACACACCGCCCCAAACAGGGTGCTGGATTGTCTCTCCCTTGGCATTGCATTTTGAAAGATGTGTCTGGCAAGACAGCAAGCTGACTTTGGCAGGCACTGCCATTAGTGTGATAATTAATTAAAGAGCAGTTGAGAAAATCACAGCGCAAGGTTATTCCACAATCAGATCCACAACTCACTACCAGATCAGGGCATCCTCCTCTATTCTATATCTCTATTTTTTTTTAAGGAATTAGTAGCTTACATAGTGCACTTGAAATAAGAGAGCAGGACGAAGAGGAATGAATCCTTGTGCTAATCAGTGAGAGGACCTTGTCTGTGAGATAAGACAAACTGGGAACAGAACAGCAAGTGATATCACAGCAACAGAAAGGACAAATATGGCAAGACATAACAGCTAAGGGCTGTTTTACACAAGCCTCCTCTTGTTTCCTATCTGATACCAAAGACTGGAAGAACCTCTCTGCATAACAGGAAAGTTAGCAGGAGGAACAGGTGTCCTGTCTATTGCAATCAGAGCTGCAGCTGCTGCATAGCTCCCCATATTTCTGTGTCTTCAGCTGGGCTCTTCCACGTTCTAACAGGCGCTAGTGAAGGCGCACATATCATGTTCCAAAGCAGACACCCAGGTTGTTCCTGCTGCCACCTTTCCCACTGCTGCCCATTTAGGGAGATTCGAGATAACCACCACGCACAGGCTTTGGTGCAGCTGTGGCTCTCACCTGCCCGCACACCTGCCGGTCACTGGGCTGTCCCTGCCCCTACTGAAAGGTACCTGCAGTCCAGGCAAATACTGGGTCACAAAAAGAGCCTGTTGATGAGCGTAGGTGGGACAGACTCAATTGTCACCCTCAAGCCCCTGGTGTTTTGATATTGTGTTGCTCCTTACTTGAAGCAAAGAGGCTCAGCCCAGGACAAGAGGACTTCTGCATGTAAAGTGATTGCTGTAGCCCAGTTAGTGGTTATTGAAACAGGCAGGAAAGAGTAATTTTATTTTATTCCCAATGTAGTTTCATTAAAAATGGCTGATTTTCAGAAAAATACATTTTTTCATTTCACTGATATCTTTGAACAAACTAAAAGCAGGAGAAAAGGATCTCTTTTTTTTGTTTGTTTCTTTTAACTTATTAGTACAGAAATCATCTGGAAGCTTACTCTTTGGCTTTATTGTCACTATTTTTCTTCCATGTGGGGAAAGAAAAACTTCAAATCTTCAGAGAAAAGAAAAAAAAAAACAACTTCTTGTATTTCCTAGTCAGAAGAAGACCAGAATGTTTTTTGCTTGTTTCTCAGCAGATACTTTTGTTTGAAGACTTCTCACCATCAGTTATAAAATCTTTCATGTTAAAGCAGTACAAAAACATTCAAAGTGTCATGTTGTGTCACCCCCCCTTCCATTCTCACTCTGTGCCAAGCTTTCTTTGGAGCATTGTTGTGGAAATTAAATTTTCTGGTTGGTTCTCCCCTTGCTTGTCGTTGTGAGGCCAGTGAGTTTGCTCAGGGTTTAGCACAGCTGCACCACAATGCTGCCCATGTTGTGCTGGAGACTCTTCTGGGCTTGTTTTCACTTTGACCTTCTACATGGTCTGTGGATGCAAGTACCAGTCTAGTTATGCAACTCCTCTCTCCATTGTCCAGGATTTCCCCAGTTCTTACTAGAAGCAATGTATTTTAGCTCTCACTGTAGTACCTTCTACCCACTTTGGAGCCCATGAATACTATTAATCAGGCTCTGTTTTACAGACAGAGCTTTGCTTTCCCCTCTAGGATTATATATATGTCACAGAGGAACTCATGTCCAGTTAATGATTACACTGAAGCACCTTGAGTTGATGCCATGAAGCTTCTTTTCCATCCAATCACATTTATCTGCTAGGGAAAAAAGTTTTTTAAATGTTGGAAAATGTGCTGTGTCCCATCTATTTCAGATTATTTTACATCTGAGTTTACAACAGACTTAGGCAATTTGTTCAAGATCCAAGAAGCCAGAATTATCTCCTTCCCCAATCTTCCATCAACTGAAAGGCTTTTTTTTAGCATTTTGTTTTTAATCTTCCTTAATTTCTTTTTCCCTCTCTTTTCTTTCTTTCTTTCTTTCTTTTTTAATTTTTTATTTTTTTTGTAATTTGGACACTTTGCATAACTCTTTCTTAAATACATAACTATGTCTTAAAGTGAGGCATGGGCATGAAGAAAAAATTATGCAAGCAAGCCTTTTCAGTGTAACAAATTAGATTTCATTCTGTGTAAATCTGCTGCCTGCCCTTGCTATTGATGGGTTTCACAAACTATATTGGGAGTTAACTGTAAGTCTGATTACCGTCTGTGGATTTGCAGTGCCAACAATCTATCCAGGGCTGGTGTGCCAAGCATTGCCACTGCTGCTTTCTATCTGATCTATAAGCAGTTAAAACTACACTACTTCTTTTCCCAAAAAAATAATATAATATAATACTTAATATTGTAAGTTTTTTGCTTTTTTTTTGTGGTTTTTTCTTGTGGGTTTTTTTTGTTTGTTTGTTTTTGATTATTTTTTTGTGGGTTTGATTTTTTGGGTTTTATTTGTTTGTTTTTGGGGGGTTTTTGTGATTTTTTTTCTTTCCCCTGCAGTAGCCATGGATGTTGTTGTGCAAACTGGGAGACTTCATATTCTGTTTTGCTCAGATAGGTAGGTAGCATCACCTTTGATTAGGGTGACCTGACAGTCTCCATAACAGCAGCCTGCCTTAAAGTGTTTGTTCTTTTAGTTTGCCTTATGCTGCCATCAGGGAATGAAATTTTCTAGGAAGGATGTCTGACCCAAGATAGAGTCAGGCTGATTTCTAAGGGGGAAATGACACTATACAGTTTCAACCAAATTAGATCAAGAGAAATGCATTGTGTAGTCCACACTTGAGGAAAAGAAAGACATGAAAAAATTTTTGCTATTGTTTTGACAAGAGAGTCTCAAACACTGTGTATCAGAGGATATGCTCAGTATTAGCAAGCTGCAGCACAAACCGTATTTTTCCCAGCTTACATTTCCCTCTGGGGAGGAAGACTGGTCTCTCCTGCCTGTTCACCTCCAATCCTCTGCTTGGACTCCCTGTCTTACCCACTGTGTTATCCCCCTCCTCTTCCTGCCACTCAGTTGTCTCAATGGAAAAGTCTCAGCATGAACAGTTTGTACCCTAACTAAATTCTTCTGATGCCTTCTGGATATAAATAACAATTGCTGATGGAGGAAACTCTAGTTGTGTCTTGAGGGAAAATGTATTCTCACTTACAGATCTTACTGGTCTTTTAGTGGAACCTAAAGCTGGAGAGGTGACCCAGTACTACTGCTACACTTAAACCACCTCTTATTGAACAATCTACTAATACAAACCAGATATGTTTTAGTCTCCTAAGGTGTCTGGAATGAGAAAGATCTGTTACTCAAAGTGAAACCCATTTACTTCACATTGCAAAACTCAGGGAGTCCTCATTCCACATGTCATAAGCCTCTTTATGAAGCTGGGCCTTTGGCAACAAACTGCACAATGAAATGAAAACTGGAATTGTTATTAAATTAATGTTCTTACATAACTGATCTTTCACCCAGTGGCTGCCAACGCAAATCTCAGTGCAAACCACATTTCTGAGAGGAGGGCAGACAGAGTTTGAAGAGCTCAAGGAATCAATTTTTTATTTCTCAGGCAGGAGCACAGATGCAATCTCGAGCGAATTAATTTTTCCTCCAAACTTGTATCCTCTCAAGTGCTGGCAAAACAAGGTCTCGGCAAAGATTTTTCAAGGCAACAGCAGAAGTCCCCTTGAAAGCACTGTACAGAAAATGCTGCTGGTTACTGGTGCAAAAGCAGGAATGGGAAGGAAGACCCCACCAGAGGCATAGCAGAGCTAGGTCGGCACAGGCAGGAAGGACCAAGGGGGTGAAAAGCCGGGGCCGCATCCTGGCTGCGCGGACAGGGCTGTGGGATGGCTGTGGGAGCCGGGCCCAAGGAGGGCTCGGAGCCAAGGGCTCTATGCACGCCGTGCCGAGCCGGGGTCGCGCCGGGCCCCAGCCCGAACCGAGCCCGAACCCGCCCCAAGCCCCGGCCCCGCCCCGTGGCGCTCGCCCAATGGGCGCGGGGGGCTCGTTTGCAAATTTGCATATTTACATATTTTGCATATTGCCCGCGACTTAAGGGCGGGTGGGAGCGGCGCCGGCGGTGCTGGGCGCTCCCTGGGCTGCCCTGTCCATCGCTGCGCTCCTGCGCCGCACTTCTATTTAGTTACCATAAGTTTTAAAAGCAAAAAAACTTATTTTTATTTTTTTAAGCTTAATTTTTGTTTTTTTTGTTTTTTTTTTTTTCTTTTCGCGCCGAAACTTTCGTGCCGCGGCAGGAGGCGAGATGTGGAGGAAGGCGTTCCTGGCCGCCGTGTGCCTCTGCCTGCGCTGGCTGGCTGCTCTCGGCGGTGAGTCCCGGGACGGCGCCCGGAGCGACATGGGGTGCACGGGAGCTGCCTGTTAACTCTTGGGAAAGGGGGCTTGGGGGGAAGCGCTGCCGGCGTGGCGGGAAAGGGGAGTTTGCAATCTTTCCTTTGTGAAGCTGTCCCGGGGTGCTTGGGATGCTGCGGGACTCGGATGTCGCGGAGCGGGCTCGGAAGGCGCTGGAGAGCGACACTGGGAGGAACCTCCATCCTGTTAGGAGAGACCTGGAACCTGTTCCCCAGCCAAAACACAGGCACAACCTGCCGGACTGATGGCGTGACCTGTTGAGGTTTGGGATGTCTTTTTTTCCCAGAGACAAGGTGGCTTCCGAGAGTCCTTTGCCCCAACAAGGGATTTGCACAGCAGTAGCACCACGGTAAGGTCCCTCGGCTTCCTCCTCTGTGGGACTCACCTATACCAGCATCCCAGCTTCGTACAGTTCTTGATCCTAGACAAGGCAAAGCTGAGTTTCATCGTCATCATGGTACAGTGTTCGAGTTGTAGTTAAGCCTGTAATGAGCAGATCCACTAGGGGAAAAGTGAACAGGGTGATTTACTTTCTCTAGGTTCACTTATGGCTGTGTTTGCGCTCTTCCTGTTGTACCAGCACTTGTACATAGACATCCTGTCCAAGCTAGAAGAGGTGGAAGATGTGCAAATGGTGCTAAATTCTCACTAATGCTTTCTCAATTAATCACAATGTAATTGAAGCTATTATGAGCAAAGAGACTAGTTTTAGGAGACCATTACTCTGCAAGCTTAAAAACTAAAGAACACTCTTAAAATATTGTTAGCATTGCCCTGTCACAGGCTTACTTTCTTACACTGATGTCCCACACACAGTATCTGTATCTATCTTTGAAAGTATCTATCTTTAAAAGTTTCTGGCCTTAGAAGAAAGGGTGGCTGTAGCTCCTAGAGCTGCTTTGTGATTCTAAACTGGAATAAATAAGCTGCCGTTTTTTCTGCTGTGGATGCCTTTGTTACTTCTTTGTGTACAAGGAAGCTAAAGGGAAGTATTCAAAAGTAAGAGGATGGGGTGCTAGGGTACAGCAAAAGGAATGTGTTCTAGCTTTGAATCCAATCTTGTACTATCAGAGATAATCAAAAACAGTTTTCATCACAGTATCCAAGTTCTATACTGTGAAGTAACTGTCTTCCCAGAGAAAGCTTTCATCCCTGCAGGAACTGATTTGCCACAGGCTTAATAATAATTTCATTATTTCTTCTTAGGAACAGTCATATGAAAGCAGGTTGTGTGTTCATCCTAAAGCAATTCAAGCCTTTAATTCCACACTTTTCTATGCACACCACAGTAAAAAGTTTTTTGAAAGCACGGAAAACACAGGGTCCAGCCCTCCAGGAATCCAGAGTATTTAAAAAACAACATAGAAAAAGACTTTCTAGGTGAAGAAAATGTTGGTATTCCACGAAAAGATAAAAACATTGGTAGGAATACAAGGAAACTTGTTTTTACCAGTGTAAATCGAAAGTCGGCATATTTACACTGTTGTGTCATGTGAGCTGCTGGCTTTTTCTATGGCTTGTGTTTAGGATAGACATACCAGGGCAGCTGTGGCATGGCCTTTTGAGAAACAATACATTTCTGAGAAAGTGCAGAGGTGAGGCTCTCAGGCGTCAAGTTGTGCTGGGGATTACCATGATCACTAGCACTCCTAGAAGTTTGCTGGGACCTCATCTGTGCGGAAGTACTTACATGATAGGACTTTCTCATGCATCCTTGCCCCTATATTACTGCAAAATCTGACAGTGGTTGCATTTTAATTGTCTTGGGCTAATTCCAGATATCCCAGAGGGACTGATGGATGGCTAGATATCTGCTGGATTGAGTTTTGAGTGTCCCAGCTGCAGCAGAGTAAAAATTCAACAGGGAGTACCCTGGAGAGGGGTGGGCCACCCCTGTGTACAGTGCGAGAAGAGCAGTTTGCCAGCTGCAGAACTTGAGCTGGGAGATTCTTGCTTATCTTCTAAACTTGTGTTCTAGAGGTGGTGTTCTTTCCACTGGCCCCACCTGGGAAGTGAAGCAGAACGTACTCTCAGGCCTCTGCCATTAAGGAATACATAAATAAACTCAAAGTTGTAATATTTTTGCAGCAAGGTTAAACAATAACCTGATTCGTGAGGTAGTTTTCCTGGGATTGCAACACACAGTAGTCTGCTTTCAGTTTATAGTGTAGATCAAATTAGATGATAACCATTTCTGTAGTATAAGCCCTGTACTACAGCTGACTGTGAGTTTGCTTCAGTACTCTTAGGAATTCAGTATGACTGATTGATGGCTGATCCTAATGCTGATTGTCAGCTGAAAGAAAATTTAGCCCAGTTAACTACAGCTGGTAAATGTTCAATGTTATGTGCAGATGTTTGCTGCTGTGCATGTGTGTGCACGCTTGTCTCTGTGGGCTATAGTAGACACAGTCTAGCAGTATAATTTCTAAGGATCTTTTCACCTAGCTAATAGTATTTCCATTTCTGAGTGCATAATGCCAGGAAATTGTTGTTTATCAAAGATTCCCTTTTTAAAACCATAGCTTAGGTGCACTCATTCTGACAAATGCATTGTTATCATATTTTGGCAACATGTATGATGTGGGCAGTTTAACTTTTGATTAATATTCCAGATGTTACTTCCTCAAGACTCACATTCTCCGCCCAGCTGACCAGTGGTAAACAGTTTCACAATCAAAATAATTTGCCAAGTTGCCCTGGGCTTCCTGTGAAAGAAACTTGAATCTGAATTTCTTGACTAGTGTGTCAGAATGCCTAAAATCAGTGGCACGCTTTCAAAATTGATAATTGATAGGAGTCCCTAACAGAATGGAATTTCACAAGTTGCAAGTCCAAAGTGTCACAAACTTTGGACAGGAAAAACAAAACTACTGACTTCCCAGTTACTAAGCTTCCACCCCCCACTCTCCCCTC